GGTCATTTGAGCATCTGTTCCTCAGGGGTCACATGGGCTTGGGAGGAGCCCCTGGCTCCTTTCTTTTACTAGTTCTGCCTATGTGAAGATAAGTCAAAGGTCCTGCTCAACCATGGTTGGCTTCACTTGGAAGCATTAAGGAAATGTTCCTTTGTGTTGACCCTCCTCTTTGTAGACTGGACACTGGTTCAAGTCCACCTTGTGGTGTCTCCATGGCCTCTCTGAACAAGAGGACAGGTGACTCACCAAAGTTACAGGACATTTTGAGAGATGCGCCATAGCCCCTGGAACTTGTTTGACCTTGGAGGGCCAGGAACAAAAATTTGTCCCTTTAAGTCTCTCTGATCAGATTAATACAGGCCTTAGAGTCTGGCTGTTAAACATCCAACAAGGTTAGTTACACCAGTCTGGTACTTTTAATTACCATGTGCTGTATAGATAAAGCTTGGGCAACATCCTTAAATAAACTTTGACTAGACATCATTAGTCTAGTTGACTAAGCTATGACCTTAGAAATTTTAAGATTGTCCACACATTATCCTTGTCTCATCCTTATTATATTGTAACAACCCTACACAGACCTTTATCACCTGCCCAGCTCTCTCATTTCTCTGTCAATTCTGGAAATATCCAGCCATCATAATTTTCACACATAAATCCTTCTTTTAAGAAGTCTCTATTCTCATATCCTTCCAACATCCTTCAATTTTCCATTTTATTTTTTTAATAGCCATGAGACACAGTAACATTAACAAATTTTTTATCTGTTGTGAGAATTCTTTTCCTGGGGATACTAAGCAATGTTTTTCTTTTCATGTTGTGGTATCAAACCATTGTTTGATTACATTAAAGTTTTTCTGGGGAACCAATGAATTTACTGAGCTTACTTACAGAGATGACTGAGGGGTTGCTGAGGTATATGAGTGACCTGAGAATATTTACATTGACCCAGCATGGATCAAGCCTTGTCTTCCTAGCCTTTTCCAGATAATATACTTTAGTCTTCCCCAAGTCCAGGAGACCATGTGATTAGGGCCAGATTACATACAGTTGGCTGGGAAGAGCAGCTGGATACTCAGGTGAGGGTCTATGACCCTGTTTACCCCTCCTCCTTAAATAGATACTTAAGTCAACAAGTCCAATTGTGATGATTTTTTTGTTAGTAAACACAGCTGAAGTCACAAAGATGGTAGGTGTTTGACTCAGAAGAAAGTAGTGTGTATAGCATCATCTTGTTAAAGAACATGGGATCTAGATTATATACATAAGATAATGTAATGAGTTAATATTACCCGTGTACACACTGTGTTTTATAAGTTTTTAGGTAAATCTTTTACCTTATGTAGTTTAGAGAGTGGTCTATGAAAACCTTGCTTTAGGTGGAAAAAAGCAATTGGCACATAAACTTTATTGAATTGATGTTTACAACCTCCAGCATAATCAGTTAAGGAAAACTGTGCTATAACCCTGTTCAGACTTTATAACTGTTGGAGTGGGAGAGATGGGAGGGGTATCCTGTCCATGAGGGGACGCAGGGGCAGGGGTATCAGAGGCAGGGTCTGGAATCAAAGTAGAAGTTAGATACAGGAGGGATAAATGGGTTATTTGAGCTAGAAGCCAGAATAGGGGAGACTAGGGAATATTTGGCAAGGAGGTGTTTAAGGTTTTGGATTTCCTCAAGTAGAGTTAGTGGAAGGAGAGCCAGTGATGGACTTAGAGCAGTGCTGGGGACAGGGAAGATTGTGGCGTGGAGAGGGAGTTCGAGTTGGAGAAAAGAGGAGAGATGGGTTGGGCCCTGGAATGGGAGGCAGGGAGTATATAGCCAGGGGAGAGCATGGGGAGGACTTGGCTGTGCCTCAGGCTGGGGAGCAGGAGGAGGTTGGGGATGGGTCCTAACCAGAGGCAGTTCATTGGCTATGGTAGGATCAAAAGCTGAGGTGGAAGTATAGGGGCAGGGGGGGAGTCGGAGGCCCCTGGTGGGTTGGGATCCTGTGAAACTGTCTTGGCCAGAAGAACCTGATGGGAAGAACATGGGACCCAGAGGGAGGGATTAGCACAGAGATCAAAGGAAGCTTGAATGGATGGTAATTCAGACCGTGTGCATTTACAATGGCAGAAATATTCTAAATCTCTCAAAATATTGAAGTTTAAGGTTCCAGTGTCTGGACAAACAGAGGTATTATCTAACTCGTACTGAGGCCAGGCAATAGTGCACAGGAACTTCAGGTGTTTGGCCTGATTGTATCCAAAAGTCCTAGTTGTTTTAAGGATTTAAGAAGACAAGCAAGAGGTGTGAGACCCTGAGACTT